GGTTGCGCGGGCACCGGACAAATCGCACTCTCGCCTGCATTTCGCGCACTCGACACGCACGATCTCCGCAGAGGGTTGCGCGCGCATGGGACAAATCGCACTCTCGCCTGCATTTCGCACACTCGACACGCACGATCTCCGCAGAGGGTTGCGCGTCAAGTCTCCAAAATGAGCGTTTCGTACGAGACTTCCTCAAAAACTCACACGTCAAAGTCTGCAAAACGAGCGTTTCGTACGAGACTTCCTCCAAAACTCAACACCCATCGGAGCACACACATCACGCAGCCCTGCCAAGCAGTTTCGCGATTCCAGCCCCTCCAAACAACATCCGCTCACACGCCAATCCCAATGTCACAGCGACATTCACCTCTACCACACGCGCACAGAGTCCTGTGCCTGCCACGAAAAGTCACTTCCGTCACACCTGCCAACCTCAGGATTCCCTGCGCCTGCCACGCGATTCGCACTTCCACGCCTCAAAACCCGCACAAAGTCCTGCGCCTGCCACGAAAAGTGACAATATCATCTCACGTGAGCTTCAACAAAATTTGCACCACACCACACGTTTGGAATGATTTCGACCCGCTCTGAGCACACTCCCATCCACCAAAATCGCCATTTCAGCTGACACGTGTCACGAAAACCGAGCTTCGATGCCACACCCTGAAACGCAAATCCCAATGGCAAGGCCACATCCAACACCCCAAAAACACGACTCTCCAAACGCTAATCCCAATGGAACTGCGCAGCAATCTGCAGATCTCACAAAACGCTGCGCCTGTCATGCAAATCACAATGGAATAGCGGCGCAAACTGACACCTAACACATCCATGCAAAGTCACTTGCAAAAGCTTCCCCCAATGGCAGCGAATTTGAGACGCGACGACGACGACAGACGACGACAGACGACGAGACGACGCAAGCCATGCAAACACAGCTCCACCCCCCAGACCCCCAACTATAAACGGGAACCCTTCGCTACGCATTCGGGAAAAACTGAAGCTGTGTCCATCTCTTCAAATCCAACCAAAAAAAGCATTTTCAACACCCATTCCATTTCACCTGGTTGATTCTCCGAGGCTCCCATAGTCCATGGAACAGATTGATCACACACTTAGATCCATGCTCGCAAGAGCTCTATCAGTTTGATTCAGTTTGGACATCCCCGAGAGCTAGTTACTGAATACGTAGCACTTGACTTGAATCAACGGCAGGAAGTGCTGGGTCGGTCAAACAGAAGGTTGCAACAAAACGCATTAGCACTTTAGAATGGATTCTGCAGGTACAGGAAACTGGCCAAGTCTCCCTTCCCACTCTTATCCAAAGCTTCGTTGCGTGTGATAGGATTAGAGTGTCCCACGCCCCGGCATACTGTACATTTAATTGCACACACAAAAAGCCGAAACCGGCGCACACTGGGGGAAAGTTGGCGGGCACTTGACTGAAAATCTGGTTACAAACCTAAAATCTTCTAGAACGAAGAAGAGCCAAGAAAGAGAAGCGACAGCAGGAAGGAAAGAAAGCAGGGTGGGTGGGTGGGTGGGTGGGGGTGTGCAATGACTAAACGAGCCTAAGAGCCGGCCGACCTAACAAGCCTGAAGAAAAGACCAAGCAAACGAAAAAGGCAAGGAAAGAAAGGGGGAGCGGGGGTGTTTGTGGGGTGGGGTGAAAGGCACTGGCCCGAATGCACGGGCCAAGAAGCCGAAGCCGGCGCTCCCTTGGCTAAAAGGCTTCCATTACACCTAAAAAGCGTTTAGAAAGGAAGAAATACTTAGAAAACGAAGAGAACCGAAGGAAAGAAAGAAATTTGAAAACTTAGCAGTATGACCTAAGTCTGTACAAAGTGATTGCGCTAGCAGCATGTCATGACATTCTCTAAAATGTCCTCAGTGAGCTCTGCAGCCGGTGATCAGCAATCTCGAGCAGAACGACAAGCCGGTAAGAATCGTGCAAGAAGGCAAGCCGGTGACTGATCCCCCTGGAGGGTCTATGCTCAACGCGCCCCCTAGGGATCACACAGCAGACCTTTGTGCGACCCTGTTGCGGCACACACTTAGATCCATGCTCGCAAGAGCTCTATCAGTTTGATTCAGTTTGGACATCCCCGAGAGCTAGTTACTCAATAGGTAGCACTTGACTTGAATCAACGGCAGGAAGTGCTGGGTCGGTCAAACAGAAGGTTGCAACAAAACGCATTAGCACTTTAGAATGGATTCTGCAGGTATAGGAAACTGGCCAAGTTTCCCTTCCCACTCTTATCCACAGCTTCGTTGCGTGTAATAGGATTAGAGTGTCACACGCCCCTGCATACTGTACATTTAAAACTCCTTGGAGACAGGAGGTGGCACACAAAAACACACATTCATCATTCCACACTTACCAAGAGGCATCCGGTTCCAAACTGCAACTACGGCTGGACATTCTCAGTTAATTGTATGCACGCACGCGCGTGCGCACCGCGTCTACCCTTTGCATTTCTGTAGTATGTTCTAGTTGAAATTCAGCTACGCAGCCTCTGCTTCTACAACTCTTCTTGCCCTTCTTACCTATCTTGACAGAGATGAGCTCGCGCGCGCGAGCCTATCCTTAATGTTCACATTGTTCTTTTACCAACCCTTACGGTGGAGAGCGGTTAAATTATAGTTTGACTAGGGGTCCACGTGTGGACGTTTTGTGTTTGAACGTGACATTCGTGGTTTTAGATGTTTCTAGTTGTGTCATGTTATGTTCTACGCGTGCGCCTACACTTTTATGTTATTATCATTTCAAAGTTAATCGTTTCAGTTTTTAATTTATATGATTTTTAATAGGGGCTGGATATGAACATAAATAGAAACATGTTTGGTTTGCCGCAATGTGTTTGAAGGATATGAGTGCGAAATGCAAAGGGGCATCTCGTAAAACGCCAAGTCCTGATCCATAGAATGGTGAAACGATGAACGTTGAATGTGTTTGAATGTTGTGGATCTGTTAGTGTGGAAAATCCCGGTCAGTAGACAATGGTCCCTGTACAAACCAGATTTAGCGACTTGCCGAATGGACCTTGGCGGGACAAGCGCTAACTCCTGAACAAACGGGAAGGACTGATGAAGCCTTTCAGTCAAGATGTTCGTCCCGACCCCGCGAAAAGTAAATAGTTGAATACAGGCACTGAAGGATGACAATTGAAAAGCGAACAATGTACCAAGTAGAGGTAGGTTTCTGCCGTATTCAACCAGATCTATTCATGTTCCTAAATTGAATTGGATATAATAATAATTGAATAAAGTTTTCAATTGCAGATTTATGGAAGAACATTCCAGTGGTCATAGCAGATTGGCAGGTTTTGTATCACTGCTTCTTCTGTCCATTTTGGGGTCCAAGCCACAAAGGTCAAGAGCCAAGATGAGGCTGCCTCATCGTTCAATCGAGCAGTTTTTGGCTCCGTGCCGAAAGGCTCTCCCAGCTACAAGGCATTAGAGGCTTGGTCTTGGGGCATCCCACGAACATGATACGAGTTGGAAACAAGGCACAACCTTTTGTTGCTGAACCAACAGTTTCTTCTTTTGCTTGAGTGACATGTTTGAGGTAGTTGCGGCCAAGCACATGGACACTGTCGCTGTGACTTTCCGTGAAAGCTTAGAGAACAAAGTGATCTATTTGGATGAAACAAAGGGTGAACCAGTCGCGTATGCTGGACAACTGGATGCAGTGTCATTGGACGAATGGGTCAAGGAGTTGCTCCTGAAGTCTGAGCCTATCCCAGAGGGACACCCAGTTTACCAAGATGGTTCTTTAGTGGTGGTAGGCAAGACCTTTGAAGAAGTCGTCTCGAAGAAAGATCAAGACGTCTTCATGCTGGTCTATGCGCCATGGTGTGGCTTCTCCAGAAAGTTTTTGCCAGTCTGGCAATCCTTCGCCCGAGCTGTTTCGCAAGTGAAGCATTTGGTGGTTGCAAAGATGGATGGCGATCAAAACAGTTCACCTCTACAGGAGGATTTCTCATGGACTTCTTATCCCCACATTTTCTTCGTCAAGGCTTGGACTTTCGTAATGTGCTGCAGTGTGCTGTGTATTTGGGAATGTGCGACTTTCATAGGAAGATTGCCGCAGACCATATGATGCGCTGCATTTTCTATGCTTTTCTAGGAGGATGGCGGCTGTTTGATTTACACGGAGCTTCCTGTATTTACTGCATTCTTATTCCAAGCAAATAATCGAGGCCCAAAGCTTTTGAGCCATGACACCTCTCAAAAGATTGAATTGCATGCTGCGCAAGGCGGGCACAAAGAAGCCCATTGTCTTCCATGGCAACCGGACAGTCTCTCACTTGGTCCAGCGTCTCAGTGGCATTGGATGGCATTGGCATATAATGGGGAAAGGCATGGCTTTGTGTTTCACTGGTTGGAAGCCTGAGGGTCCCAGCCTTTGAATACCAACCACCATGTTTTTAACCGCTGGAATCCGTTCTGACCGTTTGCAGCCGAACCTTAGTACCCCTTTGTACCTGCAGGTTCGCTGAAGAGCATGGATCCAAACCTCTTGACCTGGATCCAAGTATCTCTCTCGACGACATCAACGAACTTTAGCCAGCGGTGACCAAAAAGGGAAGTGACGCACTTCAAGTGCGCGATTGCACATCAACCAATGGTTTTGAGCGAGGCTACAGCATCACAGTGGAAGTGTGGCCTTGAGACGCTGTGGTTCAGTGTCCTAAGATGTCCTAAGGCCTCAAAGACCCCACTGCACAACTTCCTCCAAGTGAAGCAAAGGCGGAACTGCAGCGATGCGCCCAACTCGTGAGGGCTTCTTGGCACGCACGGGAGAGACAGTAGCACCAACTGACAGAGATACCACTACCCTCATGAAGAGGACAAGCACAACCCGCTAGGATGAATCAGTGGTTTGTCCCAAGGAGATGCTGAAGCTCGGCTGGGAGATGACCCCAGCAGCCTGCCTATAAAACCTTTGAATTTTGAGCATGCAAGGTTTCGATTCTATCAATATTGGTCGATTAGTGTTAACTAGTTCATAGAGCCGTTGGAGCACAGCATCATCAAACGCGGCCAGCTATGCAAGGCACGCAATGCTCGCCTTTTGCTGGCACTGGGTAAGGCTAAAGCCGAAGGTAGCCGAGAAGACGGGGTCTCAGAGCAGTCCGTGAGCGGATCGAACTGCTGTCAAGAGACTGGCTCAGCTCATCGTTGAGGTCTGAGGTTTCATGTCAGCTTGTAAAGATTTCCAAAGCTTGTGGCAAGCCTGTACTTGGATGTGCTCGGGGATTTTGTTGGTAACTTGAAAATTCAATTTGCCAAGCCAATCCATGGATACCGTACCCCATTTTGTTTCAGCCTGCATTGCCGAGCGCCACTCTATATAATTGGCTTGTGCCTTTGAACCATTTGCCAGGTGAGCCTTGCACGCTTCAATGCAGCTCTGTTGCAGGTCATGGAAGGCCTGCCGCTGTCAGCTGCATAGATTTTCTCAGAATGGCTCGATTTGAGGTTCGCCTCAAGTTATCTTCATTCTGGATGCATCCGGAGCGAAGCTCGCCCAAGACATTCCTTCTTTGAACCGGTGCGGTGCCAAGCTCTCACCACGCATGTCCAATGATCAACTCTAAGGACTGATCAGTGTGAAGATGAGCTCCGAAGTGCTGCTGAGAGTTTGGCGACCTGCATCAGCCGAAACACCACTGGCAAGGGCCCAATAGAGAGCTGACGTCACTTCTGCTACTTTTGCTTCAGCTGAGGTGCCTCCTGGTCCGCCATGGCCTGGGAAAACTCTGGACACGCTATGACACGCTGTCAAAAGGCCCTGCTGTTTTCCAGTGACAGCTGCTGAGGTCATTGCATACAGCCCGGTCCGAGTGGTACAGGACAAACATGAACAAAGCGTGACAAAACAGACATGCTGCATGCGTTTATTAGATTAAGTTCTTGAAGCAGAACCGCGAGGGCACCAGACCAGAGACAGAGAATGACACAACCGGGCAAGGGGGTTCATGTAGGAGATGACCACGGAGCTTCCTTCGCTGCGTGCCTCCTTGGCCAAATGCAAAGGGGGCAAGGCCCAGACGGCCCAGACGGCAATGGCATTTCGCGAAGCCAAGAAGCCTCTTGTTGTGCAGCAAGAAGTGAAGATTGAATGAGAAAAACATCCAAAGTCTAAAGTATTCTAAAGTCCTTCTCCTGAGTCATGCTCTTAAGTCGGCTTTGCCTCTGTTTTAGCTTGTCGGTCGGTCGGTGTATATATAGTATATGTTTGAGGTTGATGAAGTCGGACCACCAGCTCAAGGCCTGGAAGAAGAAGACTGTTCGAAGTGAGTCTCAGTGCATCCTTGCCACATCGAATCTTCAGATGCGCAGCGAGCGCCGCAGGGCGATCGGGATGCGCCACTGGTTTTTCACTTTGCCTTGGCACCTGACCACTCCAAGGTGGGACATGTCACGTCGGGACCGTTGGTTCGACAGTTGTGTGGTAGTGGCCTGTCAGGATACCCAAAAAGCGCTCAAAGTCTTGGATGCCTTACAAGTGACTGTGCTGGGTTTGGGTGTGGGCAGTGTGAAGGCGCATTTGAAGCTGATTGTGCATTTAGAGGCACAAATGCATGCTGTGCGAGGTCTTGAATGATATATCACAACCACGTTGCTCAGTGCGCTTTTGCTCAAGATTGTGTTCAAGGTATGTCAGGGTACAGCAGTGGTACGTGACAGATTTGCTGGCTTTGGCCAATGGTGCTTGCTTCAGACCGGTTGGGGCCAGCAGTTCTGCCCTTGTGCTTGGCAGCTGCCGCGGCTGGCTGGCTGGCGGCTGTTCTCACACGGAGGAAGGCAAGCCGTTCTACTGCCCTGAACTTGCCGGCACGCCCAGCAACCACGCAGAATGGGGGTCCTCAATCGCCGGGAGGATCAACCACAAGCTCAGCTGCCAAGCTGCGGGCGTTGTTGGCTGAGAGACGAGACATTATTGTGATGCCATGCTGCTATGATGGACTTACAGCACGACTTATAGAACGGGCTGGTTTTCAGCTAACCTTCATGACTGGATTTGGTGTGAGTGCAGCACACGGATTTGCAGACTGCCAACTCGTTTCTTACCAGGAGATGCTGGATGCTGCTTTCCGAATTTGCGGAAGCTGGGCGTATGTCAGTACATTCAAATATAGTCATAAGTCTTGTCACGAAAGCTAGCTTCAGCTAGCGGGACTTACTCTTGCTTTAGCAAGTCATTGGCTGGGGGATGGAATCAGCTACCAGTGAATTATCGACGGGTTCAACTCCCCTTCGACGTGTCAGATTTGGGGGCATAATGGTAGTTCTGATAGCATCCGTTTTGGGACCATTATGTTTCACATCGCGCATCGACACCTCTTTTTCCATCCGTTTAAGGCCAGTTCTAGCTTTCATCACCAAGCCCCGGCCTCAAGTAGCCTTTTGTTCACATCTAGAGTGCATGAACTTTCTCAACTAGTTTTTGTGCTGTATACTGATCGGGGGCAATTCGCTCCATCCCAGTTCTGAAGATTGACCACAGCCCTTGCCGGTATAAGGCTCTTTGGAGCAGATTTGTTGCATCGGTGACGGCGACACTGGATATGGCAACGCTGTAAATGTGAAACGCACAGTGCGTGGTTATGCCCAGGCAGGGATGGCAGGCATCATGATTGAAGATCAGGTTGCGCCCAAACGCTGTGGCCACACAAAAGGTACCACTGTCGTGCCGCGAGCTGAAGCTATCGCACGTGTCCGCGCAGCCTGCGACGCCCGCGACGAAGGGCGGGATATTTGCATCATGGCCAGGACAGATGCCAGAGCCACTTTGGGCCTTGACGAGGCTATTGCGCGTTGCCAAGCTTTTGTCGAAGCCGGAGCTGACATTACATTCTTGGAAGCACCGCGAAGTGAGCACGAGATGGAGAGGTACTGTCAGGAGGCACTCAGAGCCTCAGAGCAGAGTCGAAGAAAAGCAGTTTGGTAAAACCAAGATTTCAAAGAAGCTGTGGTCATTTGGGGTCACGTTGTCAGAATTTGCTTACTTCTTGTTCCTTCCTAGAACAGCCCTTGACCTTTGCAGGTGGCAGGGTATAAGATGGTAAACATGCTGCCCAGTGGCAAGACTCCTTTCCTGAGCCACCAAAGATTGCACGAGCTGGGCTTTGCGATCGCTGCCTATCCATTGACCTTGTTGTCAGCAGGCTTGAAGGCTCAAGAAGCAGCACTGAAAAGTCTACGTCAAGCTGGTTTTGTGGATCCAGGAACCTTTGAAAAATCCAGAGAGAGAGAGAGAGCGAGAGCCAGAGCGAGTAGATAGTTTTTGATTCTAGCATTGCAGAGTCCTTTCTGGGCAAGACGTGTGCATTTCCAGAGTGGTTCACATGGGCCTTTTAATTTTAAGTCCAGCTATTGTTTCCGGAGTCATGTTCACTGTGGTGTTTCTTAGAAGCTGGACAGGCAGCACATTTTGTCACAAAGCTTTGCTCAATAAGGAATGGAGTTGGAGTTTGACACCCTGAAAGACATTGTTGGATTCAGCAAGTACTATGCGGAAGAAGAGCGCTACAGAACATCTTGACCCAATGGGAATCATACTGCATGCTGCACTGCAATGAGACGGTGCGCGTGCCTCAAAGGCGACACCGGCGACGGTGAGTGCATGCCCTGAAACTGGCCACATTGCCCCAGAAGTGTGGCAGAACGAACAGACAAAGGAGAGCCATCTGACAGAGTTGAACCATGTGACCGACCGTTAAGCATTCCAACACTCCCCGCTTCGGCACAGGTTGACAGCTTGATGAAAATAAGCAGTGCTGGCCTGACCTTCAAGGCTGGGCCTGGAGTGCTGAGTTAGACTAGACATCCGAACTGGAGACCTCCTTTGGAATTCAGGTGGAGGCAGATGAACTGGAAAGCTTCGTAGAGGACGGCATTTCAGATGTTTGGGGGTGGTTGAAGGCACTTGCGGTAGTACAAAGTGTCGTGCGCATGGTGTTGTGATGCCACTTGAACGAAGATGATAAAGCAACCAGAAACTGATTGGGAGATGAATTGAATATATAGTATTATACAATAGTATGTAACATATCAGGAGATGAATACATAATAGAACATAGATAGAGATAGATAGATTGATAGATTAGATGCCTCTCATTTGCACAGTTTGGTGTTTCTGTTTTATTATGTTGTTGTGATCGATCATTGGAATAGTGGGCGGTGAGCGGGTGTGCTAGCATTGCAGGATGCGTGTGAGGAAGTTGAGAACATTCTGAAGGCAAGCGCTGCATTTTGAAGCGCACGTGTAAAACTCGGCTTGAAACTTATCCCACCAGAAGACAGAAGACATAGACAGCATAGACACAATAACTATCACAAGTAAATATGTTGTCATGAGAGGCCTCAAGAACACAGGATCCAGAACAGATCCTGAGGCTTTTGGACAGCCTGAAGCTCGGTTTCGAACGATGTGATACAAAAAGGGCACATCAAGACTCTGAAAATGGAGTTGATGATCTCGAGGTGGCTGATGCCGTTTGCATTAGTGTCACCGGGGTTGCAAAGACTTCCATGTACTTTACAAGCGGCTAAGAGTCGCAAATGTGCATAGACGGCATGGGTAGTCGCAATTGTGATAAGCTTGCGCCACTTTGATTGTTCATACGCTCGGCAGATGTTTCTGCAGTGTGCATTCTAAGCGTGGCTTCAGTCAATGAGTTTTTTCGAACAGCTGGTTGGTGGTTGAACACTTGGGACACACTGGTGAGAGAGAAGCTCTGGAGTTTCACAAATATGAATGGGTATTAATGATGCCTCAAAAGGAGATGATGCAGTGGCTTTGTCAATTGCGCAGAGCCACCAGACTTCCGTCGGACAAAAGAGCCCCACTCTCAGTTTCGGACGACGGTGTAAATATGACTGACACGCTTCAACCGTGTAAGGGGTTGCCCCCCCAGATTCCGATACCATGGCACATGACTGGCAGGCCTCATCCAACAGGCAGCCAGAGCGAAACACTGATCTCAGCAGTGCTGAAATTCAAGGAAGCTCCAAAGACATTATATAGATTTCCTTGACATGCCTGCGCATGGCCAAGGACATTGTGGAGACTAGGAGGTCATCGCACCCATCGCACAGAAAGGAACGACAGGGTCATACAAGGAGCAAAGTTGTTGGCGCACAACTCAACTAAAGTGGATAGCCAAAGAAGCCGGGCACAATGCAGGCGCTAGGTCTAGACAAGTGATAGACACATGAGATGTTAAAGCCACTCAAACAGCTGAAGAGCCACAGCCTCTGATATTTACTCCTTGCTATGACGTCATCGTCCAGCTCAGACAGCTCCGACGAGGAGGCGAGTTTCCCTCAGCTGTGGCGTGAGTATGCATCGACAATTGCACTGCGTTTGGGAGGAAAAGAAGAAGGAGGCTCGACACTCTTGGCACAACAGTTGCACGTTGGCTACCATCGCTAACTTACGAGAATCACGGACGCAGATGTGACAGAGTCAGCGTGAGAGGACGGATCCGGCTCAGACTCAGATTCGGACGACACTTCCGAGTCCAGCTACTAGTCCACTTATTCCATTGATGTTTCCTCAATATGTCCTCAAAAGAGCACGTCATCAGGACAGGGGGTCTATTCAAAATACGTGTGATATAGCCAAGGTTCCGACAAGAAGAAGAAAAAGAAAGCAAAGAAAGAAAAGAAGAAGACTTTTGGCGACAATTGTGCAAAGATCTTGCTGTTACGCATTTTTGTGAAAGAAATTCAAGTGATCCTAAGGAAGAAGAAAGATAAAAAGGACAAAAAGGCAAAAAAGAAGAAGGGTGACAAGAAGGCCAAGAAAAAGAAGGTCGGACTCAAAGCAAACTAAAGATCGGAATTATTTGCTCGCTCCAGAGTCATGCGACAGGCTAGGTTTAAAGTTAAAGTATACAATGATTTATGGTCTACCAACAGCAGGCCTGACAGCTGATTCAACTCAGCCGATTGAGAACACATGGCATTTCTAATCGACAATGTTTGTTGCGGACGTTGGTTTCTGTGGCTATTGCAGATTCAATGTGTGAATGAACATGTGTGAAGGACAAAAAGAAGAAAAAAAAGAAGGGAGATGACACTACAGAAGCCATGCGTGGATCAGTGTCGAACCAGTTCGGCAAGTATGGTGCCGCTGGCATGTTTCTTGCAGCAAGACTTTCAAGGAGTGATTAATGAGAGAATCTGAGGCATCATAAAAGCAGAGGACTTCTTCAACAAGAAAGCCGAGTTTATGCTGTGGGCGCAAGAGGTCCGGAAGGTCAATACAGACATCCTTGGACAGCAGCTACACCTGCAGCATGAGCCAAGTTCATGCACAGAGACTTCCAATTTTTAAGGCATCAGGGGCCAGGGCTGTATGGTACACGACACGATGTGGTAAAGCTAGTCCAGAACTTGCCCCCAAGGATGCAGTTGAAGGATTTGTTCAAGGCCTGCTGGCCAATTCAATTGGAACACGATGGCACAGCATGCTGTGAAACGGTGAAGTTCACGTTGAAATCCCAATGTTACAGTACGTGCACTGATAGGTTTGGAATGTTTGTATGCGAAGGAATACGTGGAGGACTACAACACCGCCACGATGCCTTCAAAAAAGCCTCTTGGGTAGAATGGATATTGTTCCTGTCAGCCCTGCAGTGGGACACTGTTCGGCTGGGTTTGACTGCTACCAACTACTTGATGCCACCTGATGTTGCATGAGTTTGAGCCCACTGTGTGGTCAGTCGGTCTATGCCAATGATTTGGCTCAGGTACTACAACATACGAGTGTTTGAGCAGCAGGTGGCCAACAAGCGGCCACTTGCTTGAAATGCTGTTGTTGGTCTCAAGGCAGAAGTCCCTTGCTACTCGAGACTCAAGGCACAAGTCATTTCATGCTAAGTGAGTCTTGTGTTTTCGGTTTAGAGTCGGATCCACTTTTTTGAACAAGGAGAAAGAAGAAAGCCGAGAGTGTCATTGATACAGTTGCTTGACTGCAACAAGCTGTGAGGCCTCGCAGCGGGGTAAAGTCAACTGAATCATGTTGAATCTAGTGCAAGCGAGGCTCTTCAAAGCTCTTTGGCCTCATTTGACGATGAGAAGGTGGCTGGCTCGGCTTGAAGTGGCATGTGCCCAAGGGTCCTCAATTGTCATTCATTCAGTGAGGGTTTTATGATGTGTTATGGCTTTAAGACTTCAGGCGAGACGAGATGAAGTGTTGGCGCTGCGTGCGAAGAAGCAGGAGAGCCAGATCTCCAGCGAGGTGCACCTTGGAAGGTTGATACACAATGTTTCTTGAAGCCTAGTCAAGTTGTTTCGTTTGAACATTGGTTGAAATTGGCAAGGGAAATGTTCTTTGCCCATGTCCGCTCATGAGGTGCAGAGGCTCCGCATGAACAAGGACAAAGCAGAAGAGATGAAGCACCAGGCACGTGTTCCACAGCTGCGGCGCAAACACACAGTATGGATTGTTTTTGTGTTTTAAGCATCGCTCAATTCCTCCGAGCGCTCTTTCAAAGGACTAATTGAAAAGAACCAAGTGCAGATACCAGCAACCACCCAAATGCATCCAAATGCGCCACGCTGTAGGGGTGGGTCAGATTTGGAGAGGCCTGGTTGATACCTGACAATGAGCAAAGCAGCAAAATGCTTTAACTATCTTACAATGGTTGGGAGGACTCGATTTTGCACCAACATTTGCAGTTTGGCGAGTTCAGTTTAGAGTCCACCCGGCAAGTTGGCCTGGATAGCCGAGGGGAGCCGACCCAAGATATAGCCAAGAGCACGCTCAGTTGAGTCAACAACCCCTTACTGTTCTTACTGTGTGGCTCACCTTAGGGAGTGAGCGTCACCACCCATGATTGGGTACAACAAGACACAAGACCACATTTGGAAACACGAAAGACTTGGACCCTAGCCTACATATGCCATCATATGCCTACATGTTGAAGGGCCATGCTGAAGATATCCGAGGCGGTGCTGAAGACCCAAGCGGCCATGCTGAACAAGGCTGGTCAAGTGGAGGCACGGAGCATCACGGAGCTGTTCAGTGACTCAATGAAGCTGTCGCCACATATACCGCGGGGAATGGCCCTTCCGATTGGCTTCCCTGACCCTTCTTTGGGTCTAGAGAGACGATTCTTACTCCAAATTGCATCAAAGTAACAGAAGGTTGTTGCATGCTTTTTGTTTTTTTCTTCAAATCAAGGCAGCTGGCAAGATTAACCAGCGCCTGGATCCCAACAAAGCAGAGGCCTCGGCCAAGTCAGGTGCACATCACAGCACTGAGCAGTAGCACTCATTCTATACTATTAATATGGATTCTAGTGTGGATTCTAGATGTCCGCTCCAGAAGTGGCGTATTTTGTCGTATGTGGAGGCTGTGCAGGATGTCAAATTACGTTTGGAAACCTCGCCAGCACGGAACGCCTAGGTGGATTGGGCAGAGCGCCGTGCCAAGAGGATGGATGGGCCTGTGGGCTTCCAACCAGAGTCTTGAGCATCTAGGCGGAATTGATTCACTGCGACTGCCCGAAAGCATCTCACAAGTGAGTTGAAAGGTCTCACATAGCCCCATAATTATATAAATATATACAGTACTTTGCTATGGTGACCTGCGGCAACCGCGTCCGTTGGCCAAGTTTCATCAAAAATCTTTGTTGTTGCTCGGCGCCGAGGCCAGTCGGCTGGAGCCGAAGGTAGTGCAGATGCCATCAAAAAAGCTTGGACACGAGCCACAATGTATGAACTTCCATTGCTTGCGCTGCCCAGCCAACCGGGCACTCCAAGAGGCCTGCAGTGGGACTTGTAATCACTGCCACTCATGAAAATGGAGTCGACACCTGAACAAGGTCTTGAAATGTTGCCCCTAGACTGGAGGCCATTCTTCACCATTCTTCTAGTTCAATGTGATTTGTGAGTGGGGAGGGTGCCCCTTAAACGTTCCTTGCAGCCATTGGCTCCGTAGCATGGTCCTTGAAAAAGAGGCAGCACCAAGGCGCCAAGTACTTTGCATGACACCATGGAAAACAAGAGCAGGCATGCAGCGAGTGGCAATGTGAATATGCAACCAGAGCAGGTGAACACACCATGGATCAGGAGGAATGGTGCTCTCAGATCACTCAGGCTCATGTGCGAATTGTATAAAGGCATGAGAATGCGAGCCGCTGACTGCCCCGTTTATCACGAAACTCGTGGTTGGGCAGGAGTCGATCAGTGATGTCAGCACCACAGACCACGGTCTTTCTACAACTTCTTTGGAGGCCAGCAGGTTCGAGAGACTTGCCGCAAAGCTTCTTTATTTAACCTTATTTTGCCCGCCCTTAATTAGGTAGAGGCTACCTATATACTTAATTATATAAGTAAGGGAGAAGTTCGCTACTAGTTACTTAAGCTACTACACATGGACGCAGGATTGCTCACGCTTCTTCAAGGGAGCACCCCCGTCTGAGGGTGGGGGGAGCTTCCTTGAAAAGCGCTCTCACTAATGGTTTGGTTCCTAGATGTGTAGGAAAACTTAGGATGTGCTTGTGTGAACTCGTCCGTAAATGGCATCTAGGTGCAGTCCAGCTACATTAAGGCATCAACTGCGTTACATGTTGCATCATACTTCCGCAGGATTTACTGCATCTTGTCGGGATGATTGGACGTGTTTGAGTATGAGAGCATCATGGACTCATGTGAGTCTAGCTTGCGCACGATTCGCGCAGAACACCCTTTAAGCACCCTGTAAAGAAGAAGCATCCCTTACATCAAAATTTGTTGGTCTTGAACATGTCTTCCAAGGCTGTGCTTTGCTGCGTTCCCTATCCAAGCATCCAATGCAAATAGCAAAGGATACATATCAGAGCAGTGCCCCATGGTGTTCTACAATACTGTAAATATCCTGAATGATTCTTCCTAAGCAGTGCCGCAGCTTTGTGAAAAAATGACAAGACAATCAATATTTGCCCGGCCTCGGTGTCCACACAGTTTTCTTGGAATATCTTGGAATTCAAGCACCTCTCATGACCCCAGCGAATGGTGTCTCCTTTGTGTTTTTGCTAAGATTTGAGTGACTTCTCGCGGACATGGGTGGCTTTACACAATTCTGGTGTCCTGATGGGGTCTGAGTGTCTCTACGAAGGCATAAGTGACTTAACAACACCACCAAGTAGCACCTAGCACTGTGAGCCCTTGTTAAACAGGTGCCAAGCTTGAATTGAAAGATCCCAAAGACCTCGGACAAGAACTGCTCACGCGTGCGCAAACGATGTTAGGTGAGCATTGCTGACTGTGAAGTCAACAGCGGCAGCTGCATCAGAGCAGCCCAACGCGCCAGTTCGGAGCAAGACTCAAGACATAGATCAGCGTACACTACACTTACTTCCAGGCCCATACACTTCGCCCAGTCAAGCATAGGCTCACAAATCATGAGGCAAGCTGGGCTAGTGCTGCGTCATTCACCAATGGTGTGGCAGGACGAACCTAAATCATAATTGATTCCGGCAAATTGCGCCAAAGCCAGATCCTCAGACAGTCATAGGCAAGTTCAGCCATTCACACAAGGGCCCCACACGGCGCAAGGGAGAGGCTTTGCACCATTCATTCATTCATTCATTCATTCATTCATTCACCTTGTGCTCAATGTCAAGAACACTGCGCAGCGCAGCACCGCTGTTGGATACTGACCCCTGCTCAGTCTTTCTCTGAGGGTAGAAAGCACGGCCCTCATTGCCAGAACTGCCACACTACGCCAGACGCCCCTCTTACAAGTTGAACTCAGTAGCAAAGTAGAGGGCAGGACCTGTGTTCACTGCAACTGGTCCAGTATCTCGCTCCAAACCTGAACGTGGAGCTGTGCCGAGCTTTTCTTGGCTGCCGATCTTGGTGAGAAGTCCCAACATGATGTCGAGTCAATGTCACAAAGGCAATGAGAATGACTTAGAAATGCGTCCTTGAAACGACATCACAACAGCTTCCGCCGTCATGTGGGCAGCAGTGTGCCCTATGCATCCTGCACTTGTGCTTGCCCAGCAGGAAATCGACAGTTCGGAAGCTTCCTTGCCAGTTCCAGGAGTGGGTCCAAAAACCAGCAGAAATATGCTAAAATATGATGTTATCAGTTGGGAAAGGTGTAAGTTTTGTCAAAATGCCCTGAGTCCTTCAACTAACGTGCTTTGACGCTTGAAAGGAGATGTTCCCCGACCCCGGCCAGTGCTGCTTCGGTGCCTTCATTTTGTCATAGCCCGAGAGTTGATCTTATCTTGAAGCATTTTCCGCGTGAAGATTCCACAAGGTGTCAGCCGGGCACAACACAAGCGATCCAGCGAAGTTTACACATGTCGTAGCTAAGTATGCCACCACAAGCAGAAGAGCTTTGGCGAGTTTAACATGCACACACAATCAACATAATCAGACAGAGACGGCCAAGTCAAGGCCATTTACTACAGCTGCATAATCATCACCGCCTTGGCTGCCTGGTTTCCACAAAGGGTTGCCAGGTCTTGTCCTGCTGGATCTGTGATTTCTGAACGTGCATTTACTTTCACGGCACTTTGGTTAGTTAATGTTTGTTTGAAGTGACCTAGGTGCTAACGTTCCGACGCATCTTGGCCATTTTTGTTGATGGGAAGCCAGCCACACAAAAACTCAGCAGGCCGCCCTGGACAAGGGATAGACAGATGTCAGAGGCAACAACTCCAAAGAGGCTTCTTTGACCTCACTGTGCAGGCCAAAAGCCAAGCTATCCTGGGCCCAGCTGGCTGGAGCAAAAGATCCTGCACGCCTTGCACGTGAGGCATTTATCCTGAGCGTACCTGTCATCAGTTGCAGGGAGTCAGTCAGCTTCGGTCACATGTCACATGTGGAGACTTGGAGGTGATGCCGGAGCCGCCTCCCTTCCCAGTGCCCACGGACGAGTTCACCATAACTTTTGGGCCGTGTGCTAACCTGATGATCTACACAGGCAATGAATCGAGTAGGGAAAGCTGCTCCACAGTGAGTGACGCGTTGGTTCAACTGGTGATGAGTGATGTGATGTCACCTGGTGAGAATTGTCACTGAGACCTTAGCAACCACCATATTTGGCATCGTTCTCCTTTCAAGAGGCATTGAAGGATAGTGGTGGGAGGTGCTCCGTGCATTTTGCGGTGAACGCTGGTTTCATCACCCCCCCCTCCAGGTACAACATCAGTGTACAACATCGGGTCCTTTCATGTGCAATGGGACCATAGCAGTGATGGCGGTGTGAAATGTTGGAACACTTGCTCCAAAATACCAGAGTCTGACATTTGACTGGGAAGTGCGGTCATTTGCGGGAATTTGCTTTTTGTTTCGCCAATGAGTCCTTGCATCAACAACTCAAAATGGTCGCCAAACCACTCGCACCCTGCAGACACGGGTGGGGTGAAATATGTGTCTTAAGTCCTAAGACAACTTCGACACCAACATCATGACTAGTGTCACTGTAGGACCCCACAGATGAGGGTTGAGGCTCTCGTTTCTTTTTTTGTCGGTTCTTTCTGTCGGGAGGCGGCGTTGCCTGTTGCTTGCAGCGGTGTCCCAACTTTGCAGAGGTCAAGTCGAAACTGCGCATCTTGCAAAGCAGAGAGTCATTTGGAATCGGGGTTATTTGCTGTATCCTTACCGTATCCTCCTCAATGGTTCAAGTCAAAAGGTAACAATATTGAGCCAGTTTTTTTGAGCCTGAGGATTTCATGGGGTCTCCAGCGGCGCCTTCATAGCTGCCACCATGGCTGCTGATGTTGAACTTCTTGAAATGCTGCCAGACACTTGGATTGCAATCTCGCAAGGCTTGAGGGGCATAGAAAGCAGGACAACAAAATCATTTTCATAAGGAGCCTTAGGCTACTCAAGGATGTGCTAAGCAAAAGCGGCCCCAAATCAAGCTTCCCCATCTCATGCCTCGTATATATTATGGTCCTTCGTTTCGTAGGTAAAAACGAGCTTGCCGTTTATTTCATCGCAGTGTACGTGCTCGTGCTGCCGGGTCTTCTCGAGGCTTTTAGGGGTTCTCTTTGGAGAGAGATTCCAGCCTACTCTGAGGGAGGCGGTTACTCCTATCTTAGAGCAGGCCTACACAGCGGTCCTCGAGCGTGCGTTGGGCTTCATCCCGGGGGGTATGACCACCGCGGGAGCGTCCTTACAGAGAAAGAGGAAGAGAGAAGAAGCAGAAGCCCATAGATGAAGCCCCAAGCCCAGAAGAAAAAGCTAAGGACTCCTGGCAAGACCAAAGAGATCGCGGAGCAGATCCAGGAGGAGGGAAGACAAAAGGAAGAAAAAGACTCCTAGGCTTTCCTCGGGGCGCAGCGAAGGGTCAGGCGAGGTGAGACAGAAGGGGCGTCGAGTGCACCGTCAAGGCCACGGTTGCCTCCCGGGCCGCCATCTGGGTATAGATCGGGCTGGACTAGACCCATCCTGGCCCACAAGAATAGACCAAGAAAGAAGAAGTCAAAAGGAGTCTTGAAAGGATAGAGAGTATTGGCGCCCGGAGGAGGGCGCAAGGACGGTAGTTGGGATGGCTCCCGGCCAGCAGCAGCGGCAGGGGCGCCTCGTGTTCGAAGGCGGCCAGCGGCAGCCGCTGTGGAGGAGGCAGCGTGGCTGAGAGCAGAGGATATCACGTTGGAGCAGCTGGAACCTTGGGCATTGACCCGACTCCAGGGGGAATATTGGGAGGAGGCAGCAGACGTGGTGATCCAGATGGTGCACGAGGAGTTCGAGAACTTGTGGCCCGGGCAATGGGTACAAGCAGCGAAAGCCTGTTGAGGTACTTGTATGTCAGCGGGATCGTGGACAGAAAGGTGAGGGTTCACAGGTTCACCTGTGCGGGCTGCATTGCGATCGCAAAGTCTGGGAGGACGGCCTCTCCTTGGCATTCGGAGCTGGGTCAGTCACCAAAACGGCCAAAACGGCTGGGGTGGTGCTTAAATGGCTGTGGGGCTGTAGGCGTGGAAACAGCAGAACTCAGTTCGAGCCAGCCTGTGTCCGTCTTGGTCGACGTGGCGCCACATGTTTAAAACCTGCCTTCCAGACTTCCATCTCTCACTTTTTGAGTTCCGCCCATACTCATTAAGGCAAGATGGTGCCACCTTCTAGTTTTCCAAACACGGGAGTCTTGACCGATGGCAGGCAGCGCGCACGGTATATATATATATATCTATCTACAAGGGCAGAACTTCACTTACCGCATAAATCCCTTCTCCCTTTTTGTCGTGCGTTTCACAATCAATCCACTCCCCCGTCACCAGCGCACTCGAGCTCTCGCTGTAAGCGAAGAAAAGGGGACGTGGAAAGGGGTGGGGGGCAGTTTCATTTTCCTGTAGCTGACTTCAAAATTGTAAGTAAAGACTTAGCCTCGCACTCTCTATGGCAGGAGGTCCGGGCGAAGCTAATAGGGAGACATGTCTCTTCCTCTGGTCTGGCGAGGGGGTGATGTGTTGGGCCCCTTAGGCATTGGAAGCCTGGGTTCACGAGGTGTGAACTGAAGTCAGTTTATGTTATTTTTCAAAAAAATTATCATTCAACTGCGGGCACATTGAAAAAGAGCCATGCGAGTTTATATACATTGTATATATATAATCCGGGACGCAGAGATAGAAGAAATGTTTTGAATATTTCAAACAGAAGGTGCAATTTTGGTGGTTTCCAAGCAAGGCTTTAAATAGAAGAAAATGCCTTGTGCAAGAGGTGCTTTGTTGATGCTTTTTTTTGATGCTGTTTGGGCACTCTCAACTCCAATATCTTCTATTTGAACGGTCTTGCCGTGCCAGAGAAGCAGGATTTCATGGTATTTACAGTGAAGTCTTGAAGTTTTTGATGATCTTGTCCAACATTTAGCCGGGACAGACGGTGCAAGTTAAACCCAAAAATCAGAGGACCTAGTGCACAACCCAAGATGTCCAGAATCCCGGTACAAAACGGTACAAAACCTAGAGTTTTTTTAGCTTTTTCTGAAGGTCAGATCCACAAGACAGCAGAACAACAAGTGAAGGTCAAATAGAAGATATTGCCAAAGCAACCAAGCACATCAAATAGAAGAAATGTATATGTGATTATTTTGGTGTTACAAAATAATCTGGTAATTCCCGAAAGCATTGCGAAGGGTTCTTCCGGAAAACTGACACTTCGACACTTACACTTACACACTGACACTTCCACCACACTTGCACTACAACATGAACGCTATACGTACCCCAGTGTAAGTGGAAGAGCGAAAGCATCCAAGGAATGATGCAAGTGCAATGATGAGTATGCAAGCATGCAATGAGTATGCAAGCATGTACCGAGTATGCAAGCGTGTAATGAGTATGCAAGCATGCAATGAGTAGGCAAGTGTGAGCATGGAAAACTAGCACGGGAGATGTCCTAATGAAAAAACACTTCAACACTTCCCCAAAGGCGGAGGGTGGGACGAACAGCATCAACCGAAAATGCAACCCTCTGCGGAGATCGTGCGTGTCGAGTGCGCGAAATGCAGGCGAGAGTGCGATTTGCCGGCTGCCCGCGCAACCCTCTGCGGAGATCGTGCGTGTCGAGTGCGCGAAATGCAGGCGAGAGTGCGATGCGCCGGGTGCGCGCGGAACCCTCTGCGGAGATCGTGCATGTCGAGTGCGCGAAATGCAGGCGAGAGTGCGATTTGCCGGCTGCGCGCGCAACCCTCTGCGGAGATCGTGCGTGTCGAGTGCGCGAAACGCAGGCGAGAGCGCGATGGGGTCTGTGCGCGCGCAACCCTCTGCGGAGATCGGGCGTGTCGAGCGCGCGAAAGGCGGGCGAGAGGTGTACTTTGTAGTATAACTTTAGTACGCGGAGTATCTGGGGAGCTGGAAGCTGAGAACTGGCGACTTTGTAGTACAACTGTAGTACGCGGAGTATCTGGCGAGCTGGAAGATGAGAACTGTTGACTTTGTTGTACAACTTTAGTACGCGGACTAGCTGGGGAGCTGGAAGCTGAGAACTGGCGACTTTGTAGTACAACTGTAGTACGCGGAGTATCTGGCGAGCTGGAAGATGAGAACTGTTGACTTTGTAGTACAACTTTAGTACGCGGACTAGCTGGGGAGCTGGAAGATGAGAACTGGCGACTTTGTAGTGCCATTGGAGTACGCGGAGTAGCTGGGGAGCTGGAAGATGAGAACTGGCGACTTGGTAGTACAACTTTAGTACGCGGAGCAATCTGTGGAGCTGGAAGCTGAGAACTGGTGACGGTGACTTTGTAGTACAACTGTAGTACGCGGAGTAGCGTGGAAGCTGAGAACTGGCGACTTTCTAGTACAACTTTAGTACGCGGAGCAATCTGTG